AAATAGTGTCTAATTGGTAAATAACTATTTTAGTTTAAGTTTTAGTATATTTGTTATTTGCTTTTGTCATTTTTGTAACTGTATATACATTTATTTTAATTATAGTTTTTAACCTAATGCTTGCATTAAATTTTTTCAGCTTTATTTCAATTACGAAAAATAACTTTTTAATTCAGTAACACTACATAAAATTGCACATTTGAAAATATAAATTAGATTATCCCCAGCTGGTGCCATAAAATAATTTTTTTTTTAAAGTTTTATTTTAAAAGCATTTCCTGACTCATAATCATTATTTAAAAGCATCGCCTGATTCACAATTATTCAGTTAATATTCATGTTCCCGAAAGCGCTAGACGATGCATCCTGACACGTGAAGAAATGAGCTCACAGACGGCTGTCACATGTGCAGACGGACAGCCGTACATCAACACTCGACATCTGAGCCAACATGAGATCACTGGCAGCTCAGCAGAGAGCAACACACACCTGCTCTCTACACGCCACTGAACGAAGCAAGCCCAAAACAATGCAGCTGCACAATCAGATGGGCTTGAATGCATAGCTGCTACATACACTACATTATCTTATAAGGAGTGCATAATTATTTGCATTACAGCTAAATTAATCTTTTTCATTCACCTCTGAAAGGGAGGCAATTACTTGCCATGTAATACATGCAAATATACATACGGATAGATATGCGTCACATCAGACAAGACTGAACTGGATCTGTCGACCTGCTGAAAATAGTTACTGATGTCTAAGAATAAATATTTTCCACAGTGCAACAGGATCTCGGAGAACGTCTCTTCATGCTTTTAATGTGCCTTACAGGAAATAACACGCTACAAACTCCCAACTACATTCATACTTTCACATTTACTGGGCCAAACGCTAAAATAAGAAGGAAATATCAGCATTTACAATATTCTGCTGCTGTTTGGTCTCTATGGTTTTAAATGTCAATTTCAATTGAATAAAATAAAATAAAATGCAGCATCAGTTTTAACCAGCTGCAATTCAGTATGAAAATCTCTGCCAGTTTCGGTTTCATTTTCATGTTTTTCTTCTAATATTAAATTTTAATTTTCAGCTTTATTTAAATGACGGAAAATGAACATTTTAATAACCACACTGCATAAAATTGCACTTTTACTTAAAATAAAAATTGATATTAATTAATTAAAATGTAAAGTAAATAAATGGTAATATACATATTTAAAAAATAAAAAGTATTATATTAATAAATTCAAATTTAAAGTAAATAAATGGTAATATACATATTTAAAAAAATAAAAATGATTATATTAATAAATTCAAATTTAAAGCAAATAAATGGTAATATACATATTTAAAAAATAAAAAGTATTATATTAATAAATTCAAATTTAAAGTAAATAAATGGTAATATACATATTTTAAATAAATAAATAAACAAATAAATAAATGAGTAGGTAGGTAGGTAGAAATATGTTCAAACATGTTTTGTTGAGTTTTGTTTGTCTACAGACTGAAACACAAATGCTATAAGGATGCAAACAAAGAACAGCGAGTCCGTTTAAATCCAAAGAGTCCAAACAGCAGCAGATCAACTGTCGACACGCTGAACTTTCAGAAACTCCTGCTGCTCTGACCTTTACGAGCATCTTACGGGACACACAGCGCACACGGCTCAGCACTGATAATGAACAACACACTACAGAGACAATCAGACGGAGCAGAGAAAACACATCCTGCCGAACAGTGCTTCAAACAGTGCTGTTCTGATCAAACAGAAAGCCTGGGTTGTTAACATGGGATTTGTCTTTTCCTTCCTTGGCAATATGAACACAGGAACAGCAGCCGAAAAATTCTCTCGACATTAAAAATGTATGAATTTAAATGCTTTAAAATTAATTCCAAGCCCCATCCGCAAAAACAATTATTATTATTATTATTTTTTTGCAATTACTTTTATCCAGCCGGTGTAAAGGTGATTTTTAGTGGATGCAAGTCAGTTCTCCTCAAGTTCACATACTCTGAAAAATGTGGCGAGGATTTTCACTCACAAATTAGAAACGGCAGGCAACACACTGAATTAAACGCAACATTTTGAAGAAAAAAAAGACAGAAATAGTATTTCTCGCAAAACATTTGATCACATTATCTATGTATGTTTGACAACTAGAAAGTGTCCAAATATGTTTTGAACAATATATCTATTGATGTATAATTAAAAACTAACTTAGGTGTTACATTTTTAATCCGCTGCCATTTAATGCAATAATGCATATTTATACATCACACATTATTATTACAAATAGTGTGGCTAAAAGAGTGGCTTTTATTACATTTTTATTCATATTTCTTAAATTATCTTTATTGAATTATCTATTCATATGTATTCTAATATTGTAATCATTACATAATTAAAATTATATATATTAGGGATGTAACGATTCACTCGACTCGATTCGAGTCATGATAAAAAAAAAATACTAAACCGCATAAACACATTTCATTACACCAAATACACAAAATAATGTTCTTTTTAGCAGCATCATATGACCCCTTTAATCGTTACATCCCTAATATATATATATATATATACACACACACACTGAAATAAATAATGAATCATTATAATTATTAAATAATGATTTTTTAATATATTTTTTTCCTCTTTGCTTTTCAGAATGATTTCTGCTCTATTGGCTACTGGAATCAGGCCAGTTTGAAAGGCAACACTCAGCACTTTTGAACCAATTTCCATTTGGAAAGAACTGTTAATATAATATTAAACTGCTACTGGATATAAAATGTGACTGAATACTGCAGCAAATTTTTTTTAAATTAAATTAAATATAAAATTAAATTAAATAAAATAATAAAAATTAAAAATGACACTATTATATATAGGATGTTTATATCCAAATGAATGTGTCCTCTCACTCTCTCTATATATACTGTATCTATACAGACACACACACATTAATTTGGATATAAACATCCAGCATCCCTCCCTGTCTAACTCCTCCCCACTCATTTAATGTCAAAGGAACGCAGAGCCATTATTTCCCACAGCGACGAACACTTCAACGCTCGCGCCGCAGTGAAAACAGCCTTTAAGGCTCGCGAGAGAACACGGCCCTCAGAGCTGTCCTTTCTGCTTCACTTCTTCAGCCCATAAAGCACCTAGAGCTGGGGGTAAACAGACCATCACGACACACTCACACATACACAAACAGCTCCCAGCGCTGACGAGCAGGACAAATGATTCGTCCCCAAACACCACCCCATGAGCTCCCTTCACCTGGAGCGCTGCGCTGATAACAGCCACACTGCCATATCACTTATTTATATCACACTATAGGATTCTTTGATATTTTGAATAATGTTTTACTTTTATATTTTCAGCATATTATAATTCAGTTTATTATATTTATAATTTAGATTATTTCAGTTAATTTTAGTTTTAGTTGTTAAACTTAATTTTAATTTTAGTAATTTAAAGTGTTTTTTTTAGTAATATTTCTATTTAGGTTTCATTTATATTTACATTTACATTTAGACATTTAGCAGAAGTCAAAGTCAAAATTTGTCATTTAATATTTATATAATATATAATATTTCAATTAAATCGAAACCGTTCAGAATAGCTTTAGTTAACAATAAAAACATTGGTTTTTAAAAGCTCATGATGTTTTCAGTACGGCAAGGCTCGGTTGAGAGGCTCGGACTCTTTTGTTGATTTTGTCTCCTTCGAAAACAGCATTTCAGAGTTCGCAAACATATAACCGTTTGCTCTTATCATTACCGATGTGTTGAGCTGACTGGTAGCTGTTGTTTAACACTGTGTGTGTGACTTTAATTGACCCCGAGCCTCTGTGGCGAGATCTGTCAAAGCGTGACAGGCTGACAAAATACACACCTGGCAACCCTTTCCGACCCTCAACTCCATGATAATTGAAATCTTGTATTATGCTTTTAGTTTAACAACATGCTAACATCAAACATGGTTTACAACATGCTAACATTCAAAAACCAGTCACTACTTGTCAGTTTGTTATTGTTAACTCAAACTATTAAAAACCATTTCCAGTAACTGAAATAAAGCTGAAATAAAATATAAATATATTGATAGAAAAACTTAAATTTGAAATAAATCACTAAATACACTGACACTACACACACACAGACACACACACACACACACACACACACACGCACGCACACAGGCACACAGACACGCACACGAAAACGACAAAAGCACATAAAATTACTAAAACTTAAAACTAAAATTCAAATGAAAACTGAAAATAGAAAAAATATAAGTTTTCAAGACATTAATAAATACTATAATAGTACATAATTAATGCTAAAATAACACTGCTCCATGGCCGCGGTTCTATGGAAGTTAATATGCTGCCTATATAGGAAACAGCGAAATAGGCAACTGTCTACAAGCTATGCAAATAATGTTTTGGTAATGTCTGATATCCATTATCCATTAACAAAAAAATCACAAGCACTTACTGTAGATAATGGACGAAGGTGAGATCTCGGCCTTTGAATCCTCGTACCTCCTTTGGTAGTTAGGCTCCCTAAAAATACACAATGCATCGAACTCAATAGTGTTCTTAAGCAGTTGTGCTGTGCTTGACTTCATTGGTGGTCACAGTGGATTCTGTGCTCCCTTCACAAACATATGAATGTGGGAGAAGACAATATGCATAGGATTTTTTCATATTTCACCACGCCATTACACAACTTGTAATATTGATGAATTTGTGAAATCAAAAGAAATGCCACAGATTGACCACCACACACAGTTGGTGTTGTCAAGTCAAAAACTTGGTAAGTTTAAAGTATTGCAAACTTCACATAAGTACATACTTAATCACACTTAAATTTCAGGAAAGAACAGCTGCATGAAGAGTGTGACGCCGCTTTAGTCAGTCTACATTAGATCTTCCCAAGCCTAACCTTTCTAAGATATAATAGTTAAATAGTATGACATAAACACCTCCACCTAACATTACTGTGACATGATGTACTCTGATTCACAATCACAACATGATATGAACAGCTACACATGAATCTGAGACCATATCTGACAAAGAAAAACATTCAGATGGTACTGAAAAAGCACTCTTCGCTTACACAGAAGGCAAGTCTTGCCTGATGTTTACTCTGTTTAAAAACAAAACAAAAAGTATAATTCAGCAAAAAAAAAGAAAAAAAAAGAAAAAAGGAGTATACACACACACACACAATCATTTATTAAAAATGTTTTTGAAATAAGTCTCTTATGCTTCCAAGGCTGCATTTATTTGATCAAAAAATAAATAATTTCATAATTTAAATAATTTATAATTTAGTTTTCTATTTGAATATATTCATTCAATCTTCAAATTAATGTACAAACAACATAAATACAGTATATTTTTAAATATTTGTTTAATGGCATCTTTTTTATGAATGAAGGCCAGTATCAAAGATACTAATACTGATTTCTCTATAAAATTGCCCCCCCCCCAATATTTAACCATTGACTATAGCCATTCAACATTACAGTATAATTGAGAGCTATCAATTTGAACATTTATTAGACTTTAAAAAGTAACTTCTAATTTAAGTGAACTTAAAACAATCTTCACATAAACCCATTATAATAAATGTCATATTTACCTGTGCCCTTCAGCAGAAATATACAGAAATTTAAATGATCAAACACTAATAGACATCACAGCAGCTGGTTATTAGGTTGTTTTGGCTGTTCTTTAAGAGCTGCCGCTGCTGAACATGATGTGGATCTGACAAGCATCATATTTTCTCTCAAATCTTTTTACCTTTTATAACCACTTCAGGTCTTAAAGTCTCTATTAATGAGCTGACGAGTTAAATCGGGTGTGTTAGATGAG